GTGCCGCGTTGTTGCCAAGATGAAGATTGTAATCATATTTCGTAATTACTCGAATTTTTAACGTATCCAACGTGTTGAAGAAATAGGTAGATTGAAATGCGATGAAAAATCAATAAAAAAGTTACTACTTTTAGAAAAAATCCACGTAAATAAAATTCATTTTAAATTAGAATTCTTAGCCAAATAAAAATTTATTTGATGAAATGGTCAGTACCGCAGAAGAGCAATTTCATAGGTAAAGACTTATATTACTTATATTATAATAAAGACTTATATATTTACAACTTAAAAATAAATTAATATTATGTATAGGTACCTATAGGTAATACCTAATATAAGAAATCATAAAAATAAAAAGAAATGGAAAGATAAAAAAATATAACGATAGTGAATAAATATTTATTTTGTTAGAACGTCTTCATTTATTTGAACGACCCAGACCATGCGTTAGTGCTCTAACATGTAGAGATCATTTCGGCAATTTATGAAGATCTAATACATAATATTGTCTATTCTTGATCATAGATTTACTCGTCAAAGTGTTATATACTGTAATATAATGAACATAACATAACATCACGCCTTTTATCCCGGAAGGGGTAAGCAGAGGTGCACACAGAAGTATTTACATACACCCACTTTTCACTATTTATGTTATGAGTCCCATGTAATAGGGGGTGAGCCTAATGGCACAATTCCAGGCTCAGTGCTACTACTGAGATTTTTTTTAAACCGAGTAGTACTTTGCCCTTGCCCGGTAGTCGCACTTGCGACCACTCGGCCAATGAGGCAGTCATGTAAAATAATGCTGAAGAGTTTTTTTTTTGTGGAGAAAGGGAGTAGACGGGCCACCTGATGGTAAGCTCAGCGCAAGTAAGATCAGCGCCGCCCATGAACACCTGCAACACCAGAGGAGTCACAGGCATTGTCGGCTTTTTAAAAAGGAATACGCTCTTTCCTTAAGGTTTGAAGGTCGTATCGGTTCGGAAATACCGCCGACGACAGATCATTCATACAGTTTGTTGAACGCGCTAGTCTCATAAAATACGGAACCGATTTGAATTTTTTTTTCGTTTTGGGCACTCTATTTATATGTATGTAGAGGTATATTCTACAAGGGCCCGCAACCGCGTCGTGCTTAGCCTAGCCGTTCAATTCCGCTTATACTTTTGTTTGGTAAAAAATGTTGGAATTCCTATCCTGACCCTATACGAGATTGTGGTCTAATTACAAATCACCTATCACCTTGCATAAAAGTATATATTTTACTGTAATTAATCACTATGGCTGTGACATAATAAGATTATTAATATAAAGCTGAAGAGTGTTTGTTTGAACGCGCTAACCACTGCAACTACTAAATCAATTTAAAAAATCATTCTGTGTTGGATAGTTCATTTATCAAATAAGGCTATAAAACATGCCTCGTTGTCTCTTTGACCGAGTGGTCGCAAGTGCGACTGCCGAGCATGGAGTCTCGGGTTCAATTCGCGGGTCAGGCAAAGTATAGTAAGTATATTGTTTTTTTTTAAACCCAGCAGGTATTTGGCAATAGGCTCACCCCCTATTACATGGGACTCGTAAACATATATAGTGAAAAGTGGGTGTTACATTGTACAGTGCCGTAATGTGCACCTATGCCTACCGCTTCGGAGATAAAAGGCGTGATGTTATGTGATGTGTTATAACACATCACGCTACGACCAACAGGACCTCAGCAGAGCGAGCGAAACCGCGGACCCCTTACCGACTCGTAGTCACACCAGTATGACAAACAGGATTTTTTTTCTCGTTTGTCACACCACTTATTTTTCTACACCATTTATTCTTAACTAGTGCTGTCCTAGAGCTAAATTAAAAATAATCAAATTATCAAGTTTTTATTAAATTGATGCCTTTATTTAATTAAATGTGTAACATAAAGTAATAATAAACTAACTATGTATAGTAATAATAATTATGTACAAACAGGTAGTAAAAAAAAACTCATAGGGCGTCAATTATTATACCTTAATTAAGTTTATGGCGAAAAGAGAAATCAATTGGTTTGAAAAGTAAACTACATAAAAGAATCCATCCCTATCTATATCAATGGGAAAAGTGCCCAGAACGCTGGCAGCATTGCCACGTTGGATGGCAATGCTGATTCGTTGACAAAAGAAAAGCCCGGCCCTGTGGTCACGCGAAGAGTCGACGTTTACTGATATCTCGAACAACACGATGAGCGCATGTAATTTCCGATAAGGTTATTATATTTGTGCCGCTGAGGGTTTTCTGCACTTGCGGCAGCCGCCCCAGCACAACCTGCCGTAGTCAGAAGATAAGATGGCGAAGGGTATCGACACATGTTGCAAACCTTTAAATTAATTTAACTATCGAGTGTCCTCGAAATCTATCACTTTCGGGCGTCCTCGAAATCTATCGAGCGTCCTCGATCACTTTCGAGCGTCCTCGAAATCTATCGGGCGTCCTCGATCACTTTCGAGCGTCCTCGATCACTTTTGAGCGTCCTCGATCACTTTCGAGCGTCCTCGAAATCTATCGAGCGTCCTCGATCACTTTCGAGCGTCCTCAATCACTTTCGAGTATCCTCGAAAACTATCGAGCGTCCTCGATCACTTTCGAGCGTCCTCGAAATCTATCGAGCGTTCTCGAAATCTATCGGGCGTCCTCGATCACTTTCGAGTATCCTCGAAAACTATCGGGTGTCCTCGATCACTTTCCAGCGTCCTGTAAATCTATCGAGCGTCCTCGAAATCGATCGAGCGTCCTCGATCACTTTCGAGCGTCCTCAAAATCTATCGGGCGTCCTCGAAAACTATCGAGTGTCCTCGAAAACTATCGGGCGTCCTCGATCTCTTTCGAGTATCCTCGAAATCTATCGAGCGTCCTAGATCACTTTCGAGCGTCCTCGAAATCTATCGAGCGTCCTCGAAATCTATCGAGCGTCCTCGAAATCTATCGAGCGTCCTCGATCACTTTCGAGCGTCCTCGAAATCTATCGAGCGTCCTCGAAATCTATCGAGCGTCCTCGAAATCTATCGAGCGTCCTCGATCACTTTCTAGCGTCCTCGAAATCTATCGAGCGTCCTCGAAATCGATCGAGCGGCCTCGATCACTTTCGAGCGTCCTCGAAATCTATCGAGCATCCTTGATCACTATCGAGCGTCCTCGATCACTTTTGAGTATCCTCTAAAACTATCGAGCGTCCTCGATCACTTTCGAGCGTCCTCGAAATCTATCGAGCGTCCTCGAAATCTATCGAGCGTCCTCGAAATCGATCGAACGTCCTCGATCACTTTCGAGCGTCCTCGAAATCTATCGAGCATCCTTGATCACTATCGAGCGTCCTCGATCACTTTCGAGTATCCTCTAAAACTATCGAGCGTCCTCGATCACTTTCGAGCGTCCTCGAAATCTATCGAGCGTCCTCGATCACTTTTGAGCGGCCTCGAAATCTATCGAGCATCCTCGATCACTTTTGAGCGTCCTCGATCACCTTCGAGTATCCTCGAAAACTATCGAGCGTCCTCGATCATTAACTCAAGCATTTCATTTACAACCGGCCAGGACCTACTAGATAAGGTTACATTATCATATGAACCTCTGGACATCCACATAGAGCTTTAGTACCTATTTATTTAGACGGCCTCGTTGGCCGAGTGGTCGCAAGTGCGACGGGCAAGGGGTCTCGGGTTCGATTCCCGGGTCGGGCAAATTATTACTGGGTTTTTAAAAATCTCAGTAGTAGCACGGAGTCTGGACATGTGCCTGGTATATAGCAATAGGCTCACCCCCTATTACATGGGACTCATAATATAAATAGTGAACAAGTAGGTGTTACATTGTATAGTGGCATTAAGTGCCGCAATGGGCACCTCTACCCCTTTGGGATAAAAAGCGTGATGTTATGTTATGTTACCTATTTATTTATTAAAAGTAGAAAATATTAAAAACTCGCCAAAGAACGAAAGACGGCAAACGCCGATCGACTTTATTGGAATGTAAAGGTACTGCACTAGTAATTATCGTATACATAGTGTAGAAAAAATAAGTGGTGTGACAAACGAGAAAAAAAATCCTGTTTGTCATACTGGTGTGACTACGAGTCGGTAAGGCGAGGACCGCCCTGAGGACACGGTGGAACACACCGTAGCGGAATGCCCTGCGTGGGCTGAGCACCGCCGCCGTGCCCTCAGGGAAGTGATCGGCGATGGCGACCTCTCGCGTCCGGGCCTAGTGCAGGCCATGATGCGGAGCGAGGGGGACTGGGATGCCGTCTCCTCCTTTTGCGAAGCAGTCATGCTAGCTAAGGAGGAGGCGGGACGCGTGAGGCAGCGAAGCGCTGCCTCCTCGCAACCCAGCCATCGCGAAGGACACACCGGGCGTCGGGGATCGCGGGACGATCTCCGGCCACCGTAAGGGCGGGCCTGCGGACGGCGAGCATGGGTGGCTCCCCGTCCGACCAGAAACAGACTCGAGCGTACGGCGCGTCGCGTTCCGCGCGCGCCTCAAAGAGCCATCAGACCACCACAGATGGGGCCCAATAGGGCCGATGCCGATTCGGAGTCGCGGAGAACCTAACGGGTAACCGGGGCTCCGGCTCGACGTGCAGGAGAAGGAACGGGGTGGTTTTTAGTCAGTAAGAGTCTGACACTCCCTCCCGCCTCACCCAGGTGGGGGCAGTCATTTGATGATTTTCCCCCATTAAAAAAAAAACGGTAATAATATGCTGTTGGCTGGTGACCCGTTCGGTTATGGTTTTCGCCAAAACTAATAGCTTATTTGCAACCTACTCTAATATGATTCATGAATCAATGGAGTTAAGTGGCTATTTCGGTTTGTAGCTGTTTTACTCATATTTTGCTTTACATATTGTTATTTCATCAAATACATATGCATATGCAAAAACTGATTTAATACATTTATTCAGGTTAATTTACTACATATCATTTAAAACAATAGTTTACAGAACTTTTACATTTTTCTCAATACTTTTTTCACCATTGCGACAATAAATCGAAGTCTGTAAGCCGCTGCATGACAAAGCCTCGCTTCTTTGGTTTCGCAGACCGTTCTTTTTCTTTATCTTCTTTTATTTCTGCGGCTTTCGCTTTTTTTGCAGGTTTAGCCTTTTGCTTTTCTGCATCTGATATTTTATGTATTTCGCCTTCCATATCAAAAGGACATTGGTCACTCGTATAAATTGGCATCACAACTACTGGCACATATTGGGGTTGCATTTTTGGCATCTAGAATCAAATTATAGAACGAATGAATGATCAATAACAGGATTCACAATCATATTTTGGGATATAAGTGAGTTATCGATTTGGGGTTACGATATTATTTAAATTTAACTCGTCGAGTACCGGTTTTATAGACACAATTAAAGAACAATAGGTCGCGGTCACCGGTGACCGCTTGGTGTTTGACAGTTTAATAAGCTTTCTGTATTTAGTCTTGCTAAAGTAAATACTGACAAATTTAATATTTTACCTTATTTTCAGCAGCACATTGACAGCAGTAACTTTGTGCTGCAGATATCGCCTTGGAATTAACTAAGTGTTGAACAATAGCTTTAAGTCGATCTTCATCCATATTCTCGGGTTTTTTATTTTCCCATTTTCCCTCACTGTTCATCTGGACGATGAAAGGGGCTGACATGTTCAGAGCGTCGAATCCCGGTTTTGCTAGTGGTCTAAAAATGAAAAATGTCTCTTATAGGTTGTCTTTTTTATATTAACGAATTTAATTCGCCCCATTATATAATACAGCATCTATCCTTAGAAGAAATGTGTAAAGAAAAATAGGATAGGTACGTATGTAAATAAAATCATGGCGAAATACTTACATATCTGCTAGTTTAGACAACAATTGTTTATCAGCCATCGTGATTATTTTAACGTTTTATTATAAAATTGATTTCAATGCACCTAGATATTTTGATTATTTTAGATTTTTCACTAAAATTTTTCTTATTTTTACTGACTACTGTTTAAAATGTAATAATTTTTATTGATGCATTTCAAATTGATGGCATTAATTGTCATTTTTAATATTGGACAGGATTGTTTCAATCTTACTTAGTAAATGAATCCTTCTTTGACTAATAATAAAATTCATGAAAAATATTACAGAACTTTATCTGTATGTTAATGTTATTATATTGTTTATTCTTATATTAATCAGAATGATCAACACCGTAATTAATATAGCGGTGCGTCGGAGTGTATCGGGTGCCGTGAATGCAGTGAATCCACACGGGCGACTCGGCCACGGCTGTAGGCAGAGGAGCTACTCGGTAGTGGATTTTGCCGGTAACGGTCCGATACTCTCATCGTTACCTAATGGTAAGCTATCAGCACCATCCCCCCCATAACAGACGAACCACAAAAACTTTGCCAGCCTGCTAAAAAAGGAAGAACGCTCATTCATATTGCCGGCTCCAAACTAACCAATCAAACGTAAAATAAACTAGTAATACGCCCTCAGTACGCACCACGCTACGACACTTAGATATATTTCTATTCTACCTTGGTGAATGTTACTTTATTATCGGGGTAGTCCGCAAAATTTAATTTTTGTATTTTTTTTTTCGACATCCGTCGTTCTATCTGACAATTGTGTAAACACATACATTTCGCTACTGTGAATATATATTTTATCGTTTTATGTCGATGTTATATAATATCGAATTATATTGTAAAACACGAAAATTTAAATTTCGCGCTCTACTCAAGCATTCACGCATTCATCACGAAGTACAGGCTCTGGATATTCAACTCTCATTTGAAGAAAGCCACTGAGTTAATCGTACTGTGATACGTGCTTAGAGTGTTCAGTATACGTGTGATTCAACTTACGTATTGGATTGGGTATTGGTTTATTTAATGGTCCACCTCCAGGAGTAAGTTCACTTAATTTTTTTTCCTGTTTCTTATAGTACCTAGTGGCAGTAGTTTATTATATATCTGGGAAATAATACTATTATTTAATGTGTTTCTAAATATTGAGTCAGTCCTTAGTGTTTGTTTTCAGCTTCTTGATTTTAGTGTAATCCAAAAGACTCTAATTCAAAATCAGAAAATGATACATTTTGTCTTTGAAATCTGAAGTTTAACAGTGTTGTCATATCTTGACTTCAGCACTTCAGCTCAGCTTACTAATAAAAAAAATGTGGTAAAAAAGAAACGTATAAAAACAGTGGACATTGTAAAATGCCGGTTTCCTGGGAGTGCAAAAGCGTGCTGAAATAATTGAGTGCGTATGATGCTTCAATAGATTATTTAAAGTTTGCACCATTATGCAAAATAATATTGGCGTCTATAAGTTCCTTGCGTTGAATAGATACAGGTACTGGGTACAAAAATAAAAACTACAAACAGTTGCAGTGACTTATTTATTTGACAAGTTTTAAATTATGGTTAAGAAGCACAGGCTCCACATATTCAACTCAAGAAAGTTACCACTGAGACATTAAATCGAAATCTGTGATTCTACTTAATATCCAAGGTTTCGGTTTATTTAACGGTCCGCCTCCGGGAACACGTTCAGTTAATTTAGATTTTTTCTGTTTCTTGCACGAGTGCCATATAAATCTGTGAAATACACAAAAAGCATTACTTTTATTTAATTTATAAACATATTGTGTCTTAAATCTCGTTTTTAGTTTAGTAAGATCCAAAAGACTCGGTCTCGCATATCATCAGATCATGGACAATAAAAAAATATAAAGTGACATTTCATGGCGTTGATAGTTTCAGACTAAAAAACGAGATGGGGCTTTTCTCATTTCTTTTCTCATTCAACAACATCGTCAACGATGTATCTTATTTTTGTGTTAAATATTGTTTCTCAGTAAGCGAATTTTGTATGTGATTCTTTTTGAGAAATAAAGATATTCTAAACCTAACTTTATCTTAAAAATTAAACTACGATTAAAAACCAACTTTAGACCAAAAAATAAAAACCAAATTATTTCTTGTCTTTGTACCTACTGTAGAGTCGGGTCCGCGGGCCTCTAGCAAGTTTTTAACACCCGACTTCTTAACTATTACTGGATTAGTAGGTACTTATGTAATACAAGGAATAATAGTTTCGTTTTTGACGTCGGTATTTTTATTTTTTTGTATTGCTATTTAGACTAATCTGGTGGGTGTTGCATTGTAGGTACAGTGACCTAAGTGCCGTAATGTGCATCTCTTCCTACCCCTTCGGGGATAAAAGGCGTGATGTTATGTTATGTTATGTTATGATAATTTCAGACATTGAACACCCCCTATGACATTTCAAGTTCCTAATATTGCCCACAACACTATTCCAAATATTTTTGATTTCCTTTTAGTACCTACCCATTGTATTGATAAAGTGCTACTGCCCACTATCACCAATTAAAATCTCATCTCTCAACTTATTTATTTAACAACAGTATTAAAAATTATTATTAAAATTTTTCACTTTATGTCCACTTTAACTCGGTGGTGTAAAAAAATAAACAATTACTTAGGAAATTGACACATCTAATCAAGTCTAATACTGTGTATAATACTCTAATGTCCAAATACTCAAACAACACTTCTAAGTCGCGCTTAGTGTAGTTCTGTCACTATAAATTCTTTGTAAAATGACAGAGATGGCACTATATTTAACAACAACTTAAAATTGCCTTTCAGTATTCGGTATCAAGAACAAAATTAACATCAACAGCCTATAAGTGGCCACTGCTGACCAAAGGCCCCTTCTTACACGGAGTAGTTTTGAGCATTAATCACCACGCTTGCTCATTGTTGGCGATTTCAAACTTTATAATAAGAAATTATAAGCCCAAGTTTCCTCACGAATATCGCGAATATACCTTCACTGCTTGTCAGTGGTATCTAAATGCTATTAAAAACTACATATAACTTGGTAAAAGTCAGTCATAGTATTAAGAACATTGGCTACGAAAACAGTGTGCAGCCTATTTCTAAACAAGGAGCCTTTTTTGTACTATGTTCCCAAACTAAGATTGCTAATTTGCAAGTGTAGGAGAGCCATGTTTCGGTACGAACGGGCCGGCTCGACCGGAGTGATACCACGGCCTCACAGAAAACCGATGTGAAACAACGCTTGTATTGTGTTTTGTCGTATGAGTGAGGTTACCGGAGGCTTAATTACCCCCACAGTCTCCCCAATCCCCGAATCCCTCACAATCCTCAAATTCCCAATTTCTAAACGGCCGGTAACGCACTTGTTATGCCCTCTGGTGTTTCGGGTGTCTAAGGCCGACGCAATGCCGACTGCTTACCATCAGGTGATCCGACTGCTCGTTTACCGGCTAATCCCATAAGAAATATTAACAGTAGACGATGTTTGTCTTACCGTGGAGTTTTCACTGTTTCGTTATGAATTGGACATTTATATTCGAAATCAGGTAGTTGCAGGATATAAATTATTTCTTCATCTTCTTCCTCAGCTTTAGCTTTTTCCGATTTATGACTTGTATCGTGTGGCTGTGGAAGAAAAATTTTTATTACCAGTTATTACCAGTTAGTCAACTATAAACTAGTTATACCTACCGTATTTGGCTTGGATCACGTTACGCTAAAAAACTTGCGGAATAGTTAGGTCACTGTTGTAGTACATAGCAGCACGTCGCTGCATCTCAAAATCCACTGGAAGTAACCCTGCGAGCACAGGTAGTATCTCACACCTATATACCTTCCACAGATCAAGACCAAACGCTGGCCTTGCCAAAGTGTCCGTCATACCGTGTCTATTGTCGCTCTGTGATCTTAGACAGGTATGCAGCATATGCTCCCAAGTAGGTCACTAATCTGGTGTGGTTGTGGTACACACGGCCACACATCAATCTATACAAAACCAGTTTATCCTGGTGTCGCGTCGCATCATCTTTCCGCACATTTAACGTTCAGTTTATACTGGTTATGTAAAGCTTGATGTGTAGCCGTCTGTACGTGTCGATGAGCAGCACCAATCGCTTATCATCAATCAGGTGATCCGTCTGTTAATTTGCCTATATGTTAGGTAGGTACTTACGAAGACACTTGGTGCAGAAATGGCTTCACTGGGATCCAAGTAACCGTCCAAAATTTGTTGATTAATTTTATACTTGCGCGCCAAATTGAAGTTCTTCGAACCCTCTTGACTTAAAGGGAACGTGATTAGGGGCCGCCTGTAAATAAATAAGAAATTAATTCATTCAAATACACAATACTGGTAATTAGTTATTAGCATTTTGCGATTCATTTATGCGTTTTTTATTATATTCCAATAAATTCAACAGAGTACACAAGGCAGCGAAGTGCTTTTAAGAACAGCGCCACCTATAAGAACTTGTTTGCGGCTCGCACCAAGGACCAGGGGCACCAACCCTCGGTTGCACTCGTTGCGTCCTCTATAATTACATTTAAACAAACTTTTAGTACGCAATGCGCTCAACAGATGGAGATAGACGCAGTCTGGCGGATGTAAGCGTTAGCCGTAGCCGAAGTTCTATAATATAGGTACTTCATAACTTCAGGACGATATTCTGTAAGTAGCTTCTTAGCTTGAGCCTGCCCATTCAAGTTACATAATAAGAAGTATAACTGCTCAGACTGCTATTGTGCCCGGTAAATGGCAATAGGCTGACCCTCTATTACATGGGACTCATAACATAAGTAGTGAAAATGTACAGTGGCATTAAGTGCCGTAATGTGCACCTATGAATACACCTTCGGGGATAAACTGCAACTCAGAACGTACTAGTAAAATAAATCCAAATACCTAAACGGGTCAAGGTACAGGGCCCTTGGAGGTAGTTTGAAATGTTTCTTAATGTAATTTTCATCAAGGAGTCGGAAATCATTTTGGTCTGTCGCGACATTCGGTGCTGGACCTCTTGGGGG